CATTAGACATGTCACTTTACACATTATACACTTCACTTTAAACATTACACATTTTAATCATACGTTACACATTTCACTTTACACATTACACATTTCACTTTATACATTACACGTTTCACTTTACACATTACACATTACACATTTCACTTTACACATTACACATTTCACTTTACACATTACACATTTTACTGATACGTTACACATTTCACTTTATACATTACACATTTCACTTTACACATTACACATTTCACTGTACACATTACACATTTTACTTATACGTTACACATTTCACTTTATACATTACACATTTCACTTTACACATTACACCTCTTACTTATACATTACACATTTCACTTTACACTTTACACATTACACATTTTACTTAAACATTACACATTTCACTTTACACATTGCACATTTCATTTCACACATTACACCTCTTACTTATACATTACACATTTCACTTTTCACATTACATATTACACTTTACACATTACACATTATACTTTACACATTACACTTTACACTTTACACATTACGCATTTCTCTTTACACATTACTCATTACACATTACACATTACACATTTCGCTTTACACATTACACATTTCACTTTACACATTACACATTACACATTTCACTTTACACATTACACATTACACATTACACATTTCACTTTACACATTACACATTTCACTTTACACATTACACATTACACATTACACATTACACATTTCACTTTACACATTACACATTTCACTTTACACATTACACATTTCACTTTACACATTACACATTTCACTTTACACATTACACATTTTACTTATACGTTACACATTTCACTTTACACATTACACATTTAACTTTATACATTACACTTTTCACTTTACACATTACACATTACACATTTCACTTTACACATTACACATTTCACTTTACACATTACACATTTTACTTATACATTACACATTTCACTTTACACATTTCACTTTACACTTTACACATTACACATTTTACTTTATACATTACACATTTCACTTTACACATTACACATTTCACTTTACACATTACACATTTCACTTTACACATTACACATTTTACTTATACATTACACATTTCACTTTACACATTTCGCTTTACACTTTACACATTACACATTTTACTTTATACATTACACATTTCACTTTACACATTATACTTTACACATTACACATTTTACTTAAACATTACAAATTTCATTTTACACTTTACACATTTCACTTTGCACATATTGCTTTACACATTACACCATACTCTTTACTTAACACATAAAATATTACACTTTACACATTATACTTCTTGCCCTACACATGACACATTTACTTTACGCATGACACAAAACACTTAACCCATAAACCATTTACTTTACACATTTAATAGCATACCTTACACATTATACAATTTACCTTACATATTACATATTTGAGTCAACACGTTGCACATTTTACTTTATACATAACATATTTTACTTCACACATTACACATTATTCTTTACACGGTATACATTCCACATTTTACTGTACACATCACACATTTTACTTTTCACATTATACATTACCCTTTTTCTACACGTTACACAATTTACTTTACATATCACAGAATATACTTTACACATTTTCTTTACACATCACACAATCAACTTTACAGATAACACTATATACTTTACACGTTACACAATCTACTTTACACATAACACTAATATACTTTACGCATCTCAATCTACATTATGTAAAGTAGATTGTGTAATGTGTAAAGTAGTTTGTGTAACGTGTAGAAAAAAAGTCCCAAAAGAAAGAGTCAAATGTATACTGTGTAAAGTATAATGTGTAATGTGTGAAGTAAAATATGTTATGTATAAAGTAAAATGTGCAACGTGTTGAGTCAATATACTTTACACATTTCACAATATACTTTACACATTTCACAGTCTACTTTACACACTATACGATATACTTTCCACCGTCCTGAACGATGATGTGACATTAAAATCAAAGCATCTAGATCAAAGCAGATGTTGATGTTGAGTTGCCTCAACCACAAACACAAACACATTGTATCACTACTCCACACACGTAGAACATGCATATACCTATTAAAGATATTTTTTTGCCCTTTGTTATCTTTTTAAATAACAGATCACAGACTGCAAGACCGAGGCCCCTGTGTCGCCACAAGACATTGATTGATAAATCATTTTCTTAAATCTTTGCTTCCGCACAGAGTGTTTGTCAAGCAGACAAATATTGTCATCTATATTTAGACACACGATAGGGAGTTATCTGAAAACATCTGACCTATTCCATCTCGACTATAATAACGTGGGGCGTTTTAACAGAATATAACAGGATATCACAGTAATAACATCTTACTGCATAACACCATCTGTCTTTCTTACAAAACCACAGCGTCCGTGGCGTAATGGTTAGAGCCTCTGTCCAGAGAGCGAAATGCCGGTGTTTCGATTGTATAAAAAAAAGACGTTAAAAGACTCGACATTTAGTGATAAAACAAGGACCAGTGGGCTTGCACTAAGAATATATAATTTAAATGCCAGAGAATAACCGGTCTCGGTTATCAATCGAAACCGATTCTAACTGGGCGTAACAATAAGAGGCATAATCACGGTGAAAATAACATAATTGGATTACTGAAAAATCAGTGATGACACCAGGTGTTCGCAAATAGCGCTGCATGTCCTGTCCTGGTAGCAATCGCATATCACACAAGTTTCATAAAAAAAATTGTGTTTCCATCACAGACACCGCAAAGCCGTCCTTATGCCATGGCATTAGTCCGGACTAGTAAAAGAACGCTCACGCAAAGCTTTTCTATTGGACCAGTGGTCGGTCACATGTCCGCGAAACTGAAATCCATAAGTGTATGAACAACATTGTGTAACGTTCATACGTTTTCACGAGTTTGATTTCTAGAAATAACGTAAATACTGACGGACTACCTCCACATTCCATCGTCCCGTGGTCCAGTGGTAGAGCGTCCGAGCGAAGAGCGAAATGTCCGGCGTTCGGTCCAAGCCGCGTCATACCCCAAATACGTTAAAAGATGGTACTTTTTGTTACCCTGTTTGGCGCTCGGCATTAAGGGGCTAAAACAAGAACTGGTACCAGTCGGCTCGGAGTCAGTATACATTGTCTGAGTGGGGTGTTCATGTTAAACTGCGGTATGCTATCTCAAAGGGCTATGTAAGTACAATAATCTTCTTCGTTAAACCCCATTTCACCTGTTGTATACATTCCTGGCATGAATAAATACAATGGGACAAGTCAGAAAGTTTACCTGCATGCCTGCTCAAGTATGTCCTCGCTACGACACATTCAGTGAACAAAACGAAGAATTGTACATTCAACTATGGACACGATCCGTGGCTACACTGACAAGTGATAGTCCACAGAAAATCATAAATTTCCCTCAGTATCTATGTCACATCTTTGCAACAACCTTTCAATGACTGGCTAAGTTATCAATGATGACTAATTATAACATATCTTCGGAAAATGTTATATCTCCCGTCACGTTTTTCGGGTCGGCCATTTTGAGGTCCTGTATTTGGTGTAAATGTATTACTGCGCGCTGTCACTGTAACCGACTTACTGAGTTATAGTTTCAAGAGAACTTTTCATACAATGATGATGATATTTGAAAGTTGGTTGTAATCAAACTACAAAAAAGCAATTTGAGAATACATAGGCTCATGAAACTTCTCGTTTTGATGAACTACTTTTGTTCGCGTCGCAGCTGGTTGTTGTACGGCTGTCAGTGTAAACATCAAGTCGTACGTACTACAATTATGAAATTGTGTAATACATTTCTCGGGGTGCAAATAAGTGATATAAAAACTCATAAGAATTGACTTTTACTTTGTGTGAGTTCAGTGGAGTATGAACTGTCAAAGAGAAGGGCCGAACTGTATGAACGCCGACAGGCCTGTCGTATGAACCAAGAGTGGGCGGGTATACACGTGCGCATGCAGCTATGATGTGTATTTTGCTTTGTTCGTTGTTTAACGCCGCACTTAACAATATTCCAGCTATATAATGGCGGTCTGTAAATAATCGAATTTTGAACAGACAATCCAGTGACTGACATCATGATCATCGATCCACGCAATTGGGAACGACGACATGCATCAACCAAGTTAGCGAGTCTGACAACCCGATCCCGTTAGTTGCCTTTTACGACAAGCATAGTCGCCTTTTACGGCAAGTAGGGTTGCTGAAGACCTATTCTACCCCGGTGGATCTTTACGGGTCTGCAGCTATGAAGAGAGGTTGAGCATGAGCGTTGTATACACGTGAACGTCTGTACGTCTGCCATCATGGTATACTATTGCGCGTTAACGTGTCCATCGTTTTGAAATAACAAACTGAAGCCACCGGCTTAAATATTACCCTCATCATGTCAAATTCAATAACCGTCATTAAAAGACCAGACAATCTTTTCCCATCACCTAAATGTAATGTTTCACGTTGTCAGATCAGCTTGTTCACATTGACTACATGTAGCTGACAGGGATCAGCTCGCAAACAACATATCAATAAAATGCTTGAGCGATAACTTGAAGGTCGCTTGCAAGAAACCACATGTAGTGTGATTATCAATGTATTTTACAGGCATCTACCTTCTCAGCATTCGCTCCATGTGTGTCCACAACTCCTCCAACATTGAACTAGATACAACATGTATTATAACACTAGGTACAGCAAAGGCGGGGTGGGGGGAGGGGTTGGGGCAAAAAGGCGGGGTTTTGGGTGTCAGAGCTGTACAGAGCTGCAGAATGTCGTGTCATAAAACCTATTCTATTTTGAAATCTGATGAGATTAGTATTGAGTGGACTTCGGTGGTCTGAGTACAAATACAGACCACGGCTTATGCACGAATCCAATCACTGCGTGGCCTGATATTTGTCTCACTGATCGACCAGTAGCATCAGTTTAATGCTGGTGACACTGTCATGGCGGCGGATGGAGGGAGACGATTCGACGTTCGGCTTGAGACGCGTTGTAAATCCCGCCTCGAGGAAGCGCGCGTGCAGGAGCGTTAATTTGAAGCAGTTTATCAGCTCCAGCAACAAGTTTGCATACGATTAGCGTCCGAGGGAGGGGTATATAAGAGCCACGGCGACAGGTGGCTCGCTCTTCGGCGACAGACAGGAAGTAGCGATGGTGGCTGGCACGAGGAATATGCACGTGCTGTGTGTCGTCTGCTATCACCTGGCCGTGCTTACCCAGAATGTGATGGCGTACCCGACAGGTAGGAAGTGCTTTGACTTATGCTTTCATTTAACATCAAAGCAAAGAAAAACAATTCACTTGTGCATGAAGGACCTGTTGAATGTTAAACATATATCTGAGGTAACTAAAATACAAAGTAGGTTTAAGGAAATGTTTATATATCGCCAACAGGTAAACAGTAATTATAAAACTGCGTTACATCTGCATACTTGTGTCTTCGAAATCGTTAATATAATTTTCGTTTGATATTAAAAACAATATATCTTGCATAAACTCATGAATGCCCCGCCGTGATATTGCTGGCATATTGCTAAAAGCGGCGTCAAACCAAGCTCACTCACTCCTGAATGAATGCATTCACGCACAAATAAAGACGCGTTCGTGCTCAGAAAACTGCATTTAAGCAGTTGTTTGTTTGTTATTTAACGCCGCACTCAGCAGTATTCCAGCTATATGACGTCTGTAATTATCGAGTCTGGACGAGACAATCCAGTGATTGACATCATGATCATCGATCCACGCAATTGGCATACGATGACATGCATCAACCAAGTCAGCGAGTCTGATCACCCGATACCGTTAGTCGCCTCTTACGACAAGCATAGTCGCCTTTTACGGCAAGCATGGGTTGCTGAAGACCTATTCTACCCCGGAATCTTCACGGGTCCATTTAAACTTTTGAGTAAACACACTGAAAAAAAATGTGATAATGAGGAATATTACAGATGCAAGAGAATAACCAGTCTAGATGATAAGCCGAAACATTACAATTTGGCGTAAAGGTCAAACTAGCTGTGAAAATTATATGAGTGGACCGCTGAAAATCAGTGATGACACCAGGTGTTCGCGAAAAGGGTGAGCATGCTCTGCCTAACTTGTAGCACCCGCTATTCACACAATCATAAAATACATTAAATAGTGGGAAGTTATGCCTGACGCCGCACAGTAGCACTCCCGCCGTGCGACGGCGGCCTCGGAACAAACCAGAAAATGAAGTGATCGATGAACCAGAAATCCAGTGACACCATAGTACATTTACTGAATTTGTTGAAACTAATACAAACGAGGGGAAGAGAATTTATGGATGTCAGCTTCTATATTATGAGGAACCCAATGTTTCGGAGTATATGCTTACTCCTTCACCTGATGAAGAAGTAAGCATATACTCTGTAACGTTGTGTTTCTCATGATAAAGAAGTTGACATCCATATGCATACATTCTCTTCCTTGTATATCACTTCTAAATGCCTTTCAAAGACTTCATACAAATGATATGCTAACTTTGAATTGATGAGCTGAACAAGATTCAAACAATATAGTTGTATTTGTTTCTTTCTAAAATGTTACAAACGGCTATATAAATACTCTGTCGGGGGCTTCGTTTCAGTATTTTCTCCATAGTACATAATGAAGTTAATGCATTGTCTCCAATGTAAATATCGCTGTCTAATGATGCATGTCTCCGATGGCAATATTGCTGCTCAGAGATGCAATGTCTCCGATGTTAATATTGCTGCACTTCGTTGCAGTGTCTCCGATGTTAATATTGCTGCACAGCGATGCAATGTCTCCAATATTAATATTGCTGCATTTCGATGCAATGTCTCCGATGTTAAATTGCTGCTCAGCGATGCAGTGTCTCCGATGTTAATATTGCTTCTCAGAGATGCAATGTCTCCGATGTTAATATTGCTGCACTTCGATGCTGTGTCTCCGATGTTAATATGCTGCACAGTGATGCAATGTCTCCGATGTTAATATTGCTGCTCAGAGATGCAATGTCTCCAATGTTAAATTGCTGCTCAGCGATGCAATGTCTCCAATGTTAGTATTGCTACACAGCGATGCAATGTCTCTGATGTTAATATTGCTGCACTTCGATGCCTTGTCTCCGATGTTAATATTGCTGCTCAGCGATGCAATGTCTCCAATGTTAATATTCCTGCACATTGATGGTGTGTCTCCGATGTTAATATTGCTGCACAGCGATGCAATGTCTCCGATGTTAATATTCCTGCACAGCGATGCAATGTCTCCGATGTTAAATTGCTGCTCAGTGATGCTGTGTCTCCGATGTTAATATTGCTGCACAGCGATGCAGTGTCTCCGATGTTAATATTGCTGCACAGCGATGCAATGTCTCCGATGTTAAATTGCTGCTCAGTGATGCTGTGTCTCCGATGTTAGTATTGCTGCACAGCGATGCAATGTCTCCGATGTTAATATTGCTGCACAGCGATGCAATGTCTCCGAAGTTAAATTGCTGCACTTCCATGCAATGTCTCCGATGTTAATATTGCTGCTCAGCGATGCAATGTCTCCGATGTTAAATTGCTGCTCAGCGATGCATTGTCTCCGATGTTAATACTGCTGCACAGCGATGCAATGTCTCCGATGTTAAAATTGCTGCTCAGCAATGCAATGTCTCCGATGTTAATATTGCTGCTCAGCGATGCAATGACTTCGATGTTAAATTGCTGCTCAGCGATGCAATGTCTCCGATGTTAATATTGCTGCACAACGATGCAATGTCTCCGATGTTAAAATTGCTGCTCAGCGATGCAATGTCTCCAATGTTAAATTGCTGTACAGCGATGCAATGTCTCCGATGTTAATATTGATGGACAACGATGCAATGTCTCCGATGTTAATATTGCTGCACAGCGATGCAATGTCTCCGATGTTAAAATTGCTGCTCAGCGATGCAATGTCTCCGATGTTAATATTTCTGTTCAGTGATTACACTACGTAGCTGTTGAAGATTTGAATAGACTGCTTCTTAAGTATCTATTTTATTATCTAAGAGGGCAAACATATCGGGGTTCATAAAAATCATATGTGCCCTTGGGTCATATCACGTCACGAGACAACAGTGTATTGTTTCCGTCATCCGGACGACATTGTTAACGTCATTCGAATCTTATTGTGGTCGGAATAACGTCACACTAGAAACAATGTCATAGCTGAAGATTGTTGACGTCATTCGAATCTTCTTGTTCATCGTGGTCGGAATGACGTCACACTTGAAACGACGTCATAGCTCAAGATTATTGACGTCATTCGACAAATTGTGGTTTCGCTGCTGTTGCGACTTGCTGTCCTTATAGGTAAACACTAAAATTCGTCTCTGTATGTAGACATCTTCTTCGGAAATAAATGGAACAGTATATTCGTGTTCATGTCATACGATGTTTACGACACGAGTGTCTAAAGTCTGGTAAACATAGTATGACATGAACACGAATACAATATCCTTCTCTTTATCATCCAAAACTGGTTCCCACAGGAGATATCGCTCTAAATCACTGCTTTTGTTTTCGCATATTTCAATTTAAGAATGATATTGGATGATAAATAAAATCTCCCCCTCGATTCTTTTGATATCAAATATATCAAGAATGTTTCGTAAGTGTAACATAAAGGTAATATGTAAGTCCGCTCACATTACCCGAACCCATCCAAGCGAGAGGAGAATAATATTAACGCACATATTAATCACTCCAAGATAGCGGCATAATCGATACGTTACAGGAAAGTCAACAATTCCTCAAGTATAAATCAATGCTGCACATTTGATTGTAGTGGACAATTATTGACTGTGTAGTTTCTACAAGAGCGGAATCACACTGACAGACAATCAATCACACCCCCAATAAACCTCGGGGTAATGACCGCTTGTTAACAGTAGGCTAATACATGTATATGAACTGTGGCGTATGTAGACGCTATGGCTATTATTGTCCGTGCTTGTTTAACAAAAGTATTGTTTGTATGGCCATGCGAGGACTTTTCAGCGAATGATATTGCTGATTCGTCATTAGTATTACGGATGTTATGTTCGCCTGATAGTTGATCTGAAAGGTGGGATATTTGTATTTGTGAGAGATATAAGTGATCCATTTCCTCCATGTAGGTATACGTTTTAAATCCTATTTCTTGGTAATACTTTAGATTGACTATTGACGAATGGCTTAATGTGTGTATCCCACGTACACTAACTCTGCAGTTCCGACAATATTCCACAAATAAACTGGGCGGCAAAAGAAAGAATAGGTCGAGTTCCATGATCGATAAAAAAAAACAAGGAGAGGTTTTGTTGTGAATTATACTATAATCTAGGGAGGGGTAACAAATGATTGACCAGCCACAGTTTGAATGAAATTGTTCAATCACAGGTAATTTAAGCTCAAGGTAAACAATGGTGGGGTAAGAAATTTCATTTTCAAAAGTTGTCTGAAATGTCACAAAAAAAATTGTCAGACACACTACAAGTTCATTGTCGACACAGTTCAATAGCGTGTATGACCTCCATCTGCCTCAATGCATGCTGTTATACGCCGCCTCATCGATGACGTCAGTCTTCTGATGACGTGGACTGGAATCCGTTGCCACTCGTCTCTCAGGGCCTGCTGCAATTCTTGTCTGTTGACGGGAGGCTGTGGCGTCAAGCTTGTCCCACAGATGTTCAATAGGATTCATATCGGGTGAGTGGACAGGCCAGGGGAAACTGTCAACGTTCTGCTGGTTTAGAAAGTTCCGAGTCAGTCTTGCAGTATGGGGCATGGCATTGTCGTGTTGAAACAATGTCCCCTGCTGTTGGTTTTGTAAGAACGGAAGCACATCTGGTTGCAACACTTGGTCTCTGTACTGCACAGCGTTCAGGTTTCCCTGTATAATCACCAAATCAGTCTTCTGATCTCCACAAATACCGCCCCACACCATGACACCTCCCCCGCCGAATGGATGGAACCCTCGAATACACGCCGGAGCCAAACGTTGCCCTCTGCGTCGATAAACTCGTTCTCTGCCGTCATTTCGAAACAATTTAAACCGACTTTCATCAGTAAACAGCACTCGACGCCAATTTCTCACTTGCCAGCGTCGAACCTGCCTCGCCCATCGCAGTCTCAGGCGTCGATGTTGAGCAGTCAGTACCATTCCTCGGAAAGGACGATATGCTCGGATTCCAGAAGCACGAAGTCGTCGTAGTAGTGTACGTTGGCTAATGGGATGTCCCAA